GATAGTTGGTTGATATTTCGTATGCTTGTTAGTTTATTATCGGCGCTTCAGAGAAGATATGCCCGATGCCAGAAATATCATGGAGAAGTTAGGACTTTATACGTCTAAAATGTAATAACTTTTAAAGTGAAATATCGCGCAAACCTAATGGCACTTTAGACTAATGGTAGTCATAACTATATATCATGTTGCTGATAACGGTTCCTTGCTCCGTTCCCTCATCGGGTGAACATTGGGAACACATCACTTAACAAGCTTCCCCTTATTAGTCTTCGGGGATACCTCTTATCGAAAATGATCAGCTTTGCGCCCTTATCGGTTTGTCCATGGGAATACATCACTTCGCAAGCCAACGCCTTCCCTCATCGGAGATACTGCGAATCAATCACTTAACTGGCGGTTATATAGCTTTAGGCGGTATAGGCACGATGATGGCGGACAATCGGGTGTTAATTCACGTACTTAAATATAATATAGCTTATGTATAATATGCTTATTATGAGTGCCAATCAATTAGAATCTCCAACTCGGCGTGTTTAGTTAATTGGATTTGTAATTTTGAATTCTAAATTAGTCTTTAGAAGTGCATATTTCAGCATATTTTCAGCACACGTTACGCTCAATATTGTCGTCTTTCTCGCCGCAGGAACGATCAGTCGCCGACGACTAGTCATTCAGTCGCCAGCGGATGGCGGGCGGCAGTGCCGACGCACGGTGGAGACGCGAGCCTGTAAGATAAAGCCGTGCTACCGGTGGGAACGCAGTGCCTGGTCGCAGTGCGTTGTGCGCGTGAGTGGCAATATTGGCGACTATTCACAATATGGCGTGAGCACTGTGTGCGGCAAATATTGCTACAATAATCACCCCGTACACGGCAGAGAGGCAGAAACATCGTAACCTACTCTTCGCTGACATACTGGTTATCGTTTGGGTCTCTGATGAGAGCGTTGAAGAAAGTTAGCCATGCAACGAGCGCGTATGTCAGCTAACTGTTTGTTCTTGTCGGTACGTGTACCGACTAAATAAAACAACAACAACAACAACAACAATAATAATAATAATAATAATAATAAATTATTTATGTGGGTAACTGCAGGCGTTACGTGCGAATGCTTCGCAATCAGTAACTGCTAGTTGTGTGCATGTGTGGCTCTAGCTACCTACGGATGCTTGGCGACTTGTTAGGTAATGAGATTAGTTTCAATCTCCCCTTGCAAAAGGCGATTTCTGACCGATTCCTTTCCTTTTTAGAGCCAATCTTATAAATGATGCACGTCGGTAATCTATGAAGTCAGCGGTATTTTCACAAACCTTACTTAAATCAGTTGTAATTTAAATATATTGTTTGATTTACAAATAGAATTTATAATTATGTGTCTATGATGAATTTAAACAGTTCTCTATGTAAATATATTTAAATATAACGTGTCTATAAATAATTATATAGGCATGAATCTCATAAAAAAGTCTATAATATCTTAGTTACTTATAAAAAGATTAGCTTGAGATAAAATATAATAAATGAGCTTTCAATCACGCACATCAAAAGTTGATTGAAGCAATGGTGCAATATTCACAATAAATTAGTACCAGCAGCAGTAGAGTTGTGGCAGAGTTGCTATACTATTTCTATTGCCATTTATTATATTCACATGAATTTGTTTGTCTTACTGTTCAATGGAATCGACAGATTCCCTCGTTAATCAATCACTAATATTAGTGCCTCTTCTGGTAAAACTATGCCACAAAATTCAATATTATATCAGTCCATTGCGGAATAGTCGTTCTAATACGAAAACAAATTAAAACTACACCAAACAGCCTAATGAATGCTTCGAACATAGATGAATGAAAATGATTAATTAATTAATTAAAATAGATACTACGTATAGTATAATATAGTTATTTACTCAATATATGTCTTCATGAGTACCTATATTATGCGATATAGGTGATATATACGCTGAGACATTGTATACCTAGGTAGTAATAGGGGTCGATGTACATCAACGTGGCGGTTTTCGCTGCTGATTGATATATATATACCACATGGTTAAAAGGGTGCGCTATGACTAACGGCTATCGTCCGATGTTTACGGCGGTGTGGCGCTTAATTTTATGGAGCAAAATACACATCGCATTGATATGCAATAATTCGCATATTATAAAATACATTAATCCGGTTCACCATCAAAGTATACAATAGTTATTATACTTATAGAGACGTGTGTTCAGTAATGAATATTGACCATGATATTCACGTTTTCCTCTCAGGATGCGGATTGCGGAGAAGGAATGCGACGTAGAAACATTAGCTGCATAGCGACCGGCGACGTTACGGTGTCGAACAGCTTGTGTCTGTCTGCGCATGCGTCGATGCACGATTACACGTTGCAGACGGATGTTGACATACACGTGAGTAGAGACTTCTAGCGGCGATTTCTTATTGCGTGTATTTAAGGTTTAGTAGGCAGGCAGCTGCGTCGTCTTTTCGTGCTACCGATCAACGTACGTGTCATACACTAAGTAGCCTGAGTTTTTCGCGCAATCGTTTCAGCTGGCATGCCAGTCGAGTTTTTAAGCAACCACCAGTTGGCACGCGTTTTACACGCAACCGGTGTAGTGCGCCTAAGCGCTTTAGTATTTCTAAATGGTTTTTTTTCGTTGTTTATAAACATGTCATATAAGAAAGTTAACATTTCGCTCCTAACTTTTCTCTCTTGATCTTCTCTATATCTCTCTTCTTCGCTCTCTTCTCTCACCCTCGCGCGTTTGCCCTCTCTCGCTCGCTCTCTCTCTCGCTCTCTCTCTCTCTCTCTCTCTCTCTCTCTCTCTCTCTCTCTCTCTCTCCTCTCTCCTCTCTCTCTCCTCTCGCTCTCTCGCTCTCTCTCTTTCTCTCGCTTTCTCTCTCTCTCTCTCTCTCTCTCTCTCTCTCTCTCTCTCTAGAGGTCTTTGTCTCTCCCTGTGTGTATCGTTCCCCTCCCTTTCTCACCCTCTCTCTCCCTCTTACCTCCCCTCACTCTCGCCCCCTTCCGTCTGTGTGTCGCTCTGTGACGTGTTTGGACCCAAGGACGTAGAATATACGTTGAGGATGCAGAGAGCAAAATTCTGGCTCTTTGCCATGTGGTTCCTTCTGCAGATAATTTATAAACCAACATCTAAAAGGTTCACGCGAAGTGTTGGCTGTGCGCAAAATTCCGTCGCCTCGTGAAAATCACTTGAGTACCGAGTTATAAATAACCTACACCCGTCTGCATTCGGGAAAAACACTCGTTCCCTCGTTAAAATTTAATAATGACAAATTCATTACGTTAATTTGATTACATGATGCGTGAACATATAGACGGAGGAGCCATGCTATATCCCATGCGCATTCGATTGTCAAATGACACCGTGGACGGAATGGAGCGCATGTAACCGAAACTGTAAAGTAAACTCTTCCGGTAAGTATAGAAGTGCGAACGGGCGGGTCTTCGTTCGTGCGCGCGCGCGTGCGTACGTATGTAAGTCGATGTGTGCCGGCGTGCGTACGTGCGTGTGCGTACGTACGTACGTCGATGTGAGCCGGCGTGCGTACGTGCGTGAACGTGCGTACGTACGTCGATGTGTGCCGGCGTGCGTACGTGCGTGTGTGAGCGTCCGAGCGAAGGAGCGAGCGGGCGAGTATATTATTTTTAAGTTGAGTAACATTTTGTCTCTCTTTTCCTTGGTCGTACATGATTTCGTTTTGTCTTAGCTTGAGCTACGCATCCACGCAATTCAACGTGCTTCATGCATCACTGCGGTCTATAGAAAGATTTCTTGAATCCTTCACGCCCCGTTTTCAATAATGAGCAGTGTGCACGGCCTCGCCCTGTTCGCGGTATAATGATGACACAATTCCATCGACACGACAATGATTACAGCTGGTTTAACTGTAATCGATCAAGCCCCGTCTCGTTCGCTCCCGCGCCCTATCGCGAGACATATCAGTCCCCATCGTATCTCGATTAGATTGACGTATGAAGTCTCGTGTTACAATATTCCAGTTGGGATAGCGACGAGATCGCGAGCTATTACTCATCACCCTACGCCCCTGACAGCGCCCTGCCCCGACGTACTGTGGCAGACGAAGGCGTGTGCGGGTAAGTATAAACCAATACTTACAGAGTATATATTCCGTTCTCTAATAATAGCAAATAGTACAATTAAGTAGCAATGCAAATATGTTAATTTAGTCAATATTTCGTCGAAAAAGCATAATTTACGTCTAGACCAAATTGCTTGTGTTTTGTATTAAATGTTATCTTAATAATAAGTGACACGCTGTTGAAATTTATTCCGGATTACAGTTGCGCGGTCGCTAAATTCAAGACCAAGGGGCCTATTACCCCGAAATGATGAAAAACACTGATGCCATAAACGCATTTCTGTCAGTAATAAGAATATTTATGTTCGCTGTCTAAAGCAAACAACAAAGTACGGCTATGTAAATAATTAATGTTCGCTGTTTACATGGGATAGAAATACCAATATACGCGCACGGGTAGACACAAACATACACGCCACTGTGTGTATATTGCGCACTTGCATGAAGCAAAAACATGTCTTTGTTATAGTTATGTATTATATTATGTTTATACCAGTTCTTGGTTTTAACTAAATTCATGTTTATTTCTATTTCAGGTGGCCCTTGTCTAACATACAGTTGGAATAAGACTAGAGGCGCAGATGGGAATGAGGAAATGGCGTGCACGCGAAGTGATGGACTGCGTGTTAATGGTGAGTGCTATGCGATTTACACGTTGAAACCCACATTGAATATTTTTAAATACACATAAAAACTGCATTTAAAACACAAATTATGTTATGTCAAGTTTTATATTATATGGAGCAACTCAGTTCGCCGGTTTTACACTCAGTAATTGATGTTCATGAGCCAACGACTACTTACTTGGCTCGCACCGCCATGTCCGCGTGACCGTATGGCAGTATATTCAAAGATTCTATCCTGCTGTACAAATGGGTACCCAAGTGGCGGATCCAGAAAAATCTTTCAAGGGATTAGAACCCCCTTCCTTTTCTTTATGACTGCAGACCTGATTAGAAAAAATCGCACAGGATTCTGTATCTGTACTGACCTCACTGCTATCTATTCTACTAGCAATACTACACTATCCGGTATAGTATGCTACACAAATTCATCACAGTTAAAATAGTATAAATTTATTTAAAATGGAAAACATATTTTGAAGAGCCATCGCATAGTGGCCGTATTCTTTAAGAATCTGTATTTTTTAGAAATTCTGGGTTCGCTCCCGGCACATACGTTCCGTTGGAAGAACTCACTCTGAGATAGATTGTCGAAGGCCGAGTCTGGTACTGTCAGTCGCTAAGGTTACCGTGATTATCTCCAGTCTCTAGCTGCTGTGGGCTTCCTTATAGGAGGTCGTGAATTAATTTGTAGCTTTTACGAGCCTTATTTGTTGTTGTTGTTGTTATTGTTGTTGACTGCAGACGATGACGCAATAGCGTGACGCAGCAACGTAATGCATACGTCATGTGAACAAAAACTGGATATCCCAAGGGATTACTGGTTATTTCTTTATTTCGTTCATAGGTGAATCGTTGTTGCTTGTACCTTCCCTCCCCTTCCTCCATCTCTTATTCCATCCTTCCCTTTTTCGCTCCCTCCCTCCCTGCCTCTCTCTCCCTCCCTCATTCACTCTCCCTCCCTTCACTCCCTTCTTCCCAGCCTTCCTCTGCAATATATATATATATATATATAAATAAATAAATATATATATATATATATTGCAGCTGTGCTAATAATACTTATTGTTGGAAATTAATTATAGATGATGTTGATCGCATCACAGTTCCTAGCTTGTGAGAGAGGGAGACAGCGAGAGAGGGAACGGGGGACGCGGGAATGAGACAAGAACAGACAGAGATATGAGAAAGAGACAGATTGACGGGGAGACAGAGACATGGGGAGGAAAAGAGAGAGAGAATGGAAAGACGAACAAAGGACGAATGAAACGTTCTCGTTTTAACGTTCATTTAGTCAGAGCGCACAACAAAGAATGCCAAGCGGTGTCGGGAAATTTCAATTCACTCTCGCTCTGCTAATCTATATCGTAGCTGGCTATAGCGCAGCCGGCGGTGAGAGACACGGCTCTTCCCACATTGCCGAGCCGCGCCAGCAACCATCTCACATTCTCTTCCACGGCTAATTAGTGCTGGCGTTGAATAACACTGCGACACAGGCGTGCGGTTGTGAACCACTGCAGATGCTATTGAATCATCGAGACGTCGCGCGTACACTGTAAGGAGACAGAGGGAGTCCCTGCTGTAGGTGTAGAAATGTCTTCGTGCAATCCCATGCACTCGCGAGACGTTGAAAGCAAGAATTCGCTAGCTTGCTCGCTTGGAAATAATAAAAAAATTTTCGAGACAATACAATAAGCCGATTTGCGTGACACAGAAGAGTTATATAATGACGCATGTCTTAACGTATGTGATTAGCCATGTTCATTTTGTATTCATCAAGCGCTTACAAGTATTGAGTGTGAGTATGAGATTGAAATATATTTGCTCCTTCTGAAAACGAATTTCGATTCGCAAAACGTTTTATTTAAACTGACGTTCACCAATGCACTTAAAATTCGATTTCGCTGTTGTTCTAACAATAGCGCCAATATGAGCCGGTTTCCCGTAATTGCAGCTGTTCTTAGTCCTACATCGTCTGGAAATGGTCAGATTTCGATTTATGGGCCATTTCAACCACAGTCGTATATTTCAACTATAAATTACTGATGAATGTAGTAGTTATCTATGGCGATGCGTGTGTCTATACATCATGTGCCTATATGTGTGCCCGCTTGCGCGCGTCATGCTTGCGTGTGGAAATAATACTGAAGGGGATAGTAGAAATACTATAGTGAGATATATTTTTTGTATTATATTATATCGCATAATATAGCTATTTAAGACCCTCCGTAAAATGCGCGATGTGATCACCGGGGTACTAGTTTTTTTAATTAACGACAGTTTGTTATTTTACCTTTTGATGGGCGCATGTGATTGTGCGTGTAATCATATTACGCTATCATTTCTAATTAACTTACTTCGGTTTAATTAGTCGTTAAGCTAAACTAATATAAATATATATATATCACAGCACACACACACACACACACACACACACACACACACACACACACACACACAAGCACCACACACACACACAAAACACACACACACACACACACACACACACACACACACTCACGAACACGGACGGCACGGCTCGCCGCGCGCCGCAACCACACACACACTCACCACACACACACAGCACGCACGCACGCACGGCACACACACACAACACACACACACACATTGCACATGCAACACACACACACACACACACACACATGGGCCACACACACACACAACGTATATATAATAATATTATATGGTATATCATATTATACTGCGTCGTAAAGAAACATGTAGCATCATAACAATCATTGGGATATGCTGTTAGCGTTGCGTCGCTTCGCCTTTCGCCGTCATTTTGACTACGCTGAAGTGGCAACAGCATTAGCAATGCTGTAAATTATTTTGCCATTTATGTTCTGCGTAGAAAGTTTAAAAATGGAAAAGCACTTTGAGTATATACACACACACACAACACCACCACACACACACACACACACACACACACCACACCACACACAACACACCACACGACCCACACAGACATACACACACACACCAACACACACACACACACAGCACACACACACACCACACCACACACAACGACACACCACACACACTTTATTGTATTACTATAATTAATATAATACATTATTATTGTAGATTTTCCTACAGTGTGTACGTTTGCTTAAAAATAAAAAGATAATTGTCTACGTTTCGTTAAAATGTCTCATTGAAACCAACGTGCTTCTCGTATGTTCGGTTTGATAAAATTAATGTTTGCAGTTTTCGCGCTATAACGTTTAGAAAATGCGCCGTGAGCAACGCTTGCCTGCCGAATTAGCAGATGTGATTGAGAGCGTTCGATGTATAGTTCAATTCGAATCGTTTATCCTTTTTTTCTACATTAATGAGCTTCACACTTTTACCCAACTTATTCGATACTGTTCCATTATTCGTCTCTCAACCACGGATGTCCGTCGATGAGCGCGAATGGCGTGGCACCAGCGAGTTCTCCCGCGAGGCGACCTGCCTCCGCCTACAACGGCCAAAAGCTTCTACCTCGTCCGGCCAGCCGAACTAATGTCACCATATCACTGTCCAGAGAACTGTACATTACGCCGTGGAAATCACTGAAACCATCGTGCGTAAAAGTGTACATGATGTATTTCATCAAACGGAGACGTCTTGTATCTGGCTGATAAAAATTGCACTATACTAGTACGTATATATATTATATATAATAGGAGGCCTTAACGTACAATCCGTTCAATATCATTGCGGATTACCCATGCTCTTCTAGTTCAAACCCTTAGGCCGGTTCAGTAGATCATTATCCATCATTACTGCCTCATAACATCTAGTTTGCAGCCATCGTGTACTCGCCGTTCTGATATCTATAGTATAAATATATAGATACTATATATTCTATTATACTCACTTATATATAAATATTATATATTCATTAATTATGGCTACTAATTAATGGGAAAATTCTACACTAATAGATTTAAGAGGTATCATATCATCACTAACGAGAGTACAGTAATCCTCGTTTCTCGCGCCGTCGATTGGTTTGCAGTGATCTAGACGTATGTATGCCATTTACGACAATGACCACAAACTAAGCCCTGCGCGTCGCCATGACCTCACCAGTGCCCTTATCGAAATTGGTCAGACTGTATTCTCACAACGCACGGTATATTACTTTACAATGTTTCCCTCTAGTTAGTTTATTGTCTACCCTAGATTCTTAGGGTTACGGTTGACTATTGACACTTAGGATTAAGCCATGCTTGAGGATAGATGAGAGCGATAGTAGGAATAGGGTTAGCGTTACAGATTGAACTAGAATACGAGTGTAATGTGAGCGTGCGAGGGTGTTATGTTGAGTTAAGACGTGAGTACAAACCATTAGGACTCAGGTTGAGTTAAGTTGAGGAGAGGGATAGTTTGGTGGTGTGCGGATAAAGGTAAGTGTTGATAATGAGGATGAATAGGAAGGTAGCATTGTGGATATTTGTTTCTTATTCGCCTATAGACATTCATTGTAGTCATTTTACCTATCTTTTCAAATGGCTCAGCCAGGGGCGTAAAATCGTACCGAGGAGTGGGGGGGGATGAATCGGCCGATAGCCATCACTTATACATACGCACCGAGCACAATCCCACCAATATTTCACGCCACACGCCGCGCCGGATCGCGCCACGCACGAAACACCCACACACACACACACACAACACACACCAACACCACCAACACACACACACACACACGACACACAACACACACACAGACACACAGACACACACACACACAACGACACACACACCACACCACACAAACGAACAAACAACAAACACAACCACAAACGCGTGCGTTAGCTATGTTTGTATGTATCACGTATTTATATTTGTTTGCTTTTTATCGTCAGGTGACATTCCCGTGTCATGGACATTCTGTGGTGAGCAGCCAGCACCGGTCGTCGCCGAGCAATGCGCTGTGCCATGTCCTGTCGACTGCGAGCTATCGCGCTGGTCGCCGTGGCTGCCCTGCCCACGTCCCTCGACATGTTCCCAGCTGAATAAGACATGTGAGCATCAAAGTTATATAATTGGATGATGTAGTACAAATGTGTGCGGGCACGTGTGCGTGCGTGCGTGCGTACGTGTGGGTGTAGGTATACTTTTCTGCGTACCTGTGTTCGTTCGTTCGTGTATATGTGTGTGCGTGCGTGCGTGCGTGCGTGCGTGTGTGTGTACGTGTGTTTGGATTTGTGCGTGTGTGGGTGTGTGTGGGTGTGGGGGGAGGCGTGCGTCAGTAGGTAATGATATCAGTGTCCAGCCGTTTTGTTTGGAGATGAGCACCGATTAATGGTAGACATCCGGGTGTCGTGCCATTAGGGCAATGACTTTCTCGTTGACAAATCGCACCCGCCCAGACATTAATTTGTGTACGCTGCTAATGTAGCGTTACTTGGCTTTCCTGTGGCAACTGCTCGTTATCATCGCTCGTGTACGCGTGACTCTATGAAATGATATTGTTAAAGGACAATTGAAGTCAAATTTTATAACTTCTGTAACGTTTTTATACATAGAAATACTTTCAATAACGTATTTCATTTCAAATCCGGCGCCCAATTAGTAAGAAACACATGAATATTAATCTAGGTCATGTGACGTCACAGCCCCATGTTGAAACACGCCATTATAATTATAGCGTAACACTAACAGTGCTAACACGCTAGTATATGTTATGCTCTAGGTGAAAGTATTGTTACAGCATACAACAAACATGTAGCCTGTAAATGTACTTATATTCATGTACATACATATTACCTGTGTGGATAATGCATTCACGGTATATGTACATGACTTGCGTAGAGATGTTTGTACATGTATATACAGATACATGTGATTCTGACCGAGCGTGATAAGCCCGGTGATCAGTGTACTCGCATGACTCAACTGGTCTAGCGTCGAACTGGTCTACAATAACCCGGGTCTTCTTCTCATTCTCATGGCAGCATATACATTCAGGTGCCGTACTCATTAATTCACAAACACTACAAGAACACCAGTATTTGTCTACAGTCCTATCTGGTACCGAAGCTTCCATTCCGCCATGTTGTGACTGTTCTGATTCTTGAGAAGTTTGTGCCGATTTTTCGCGTTGCTTTTTCAGACGATTCTCCTCAATTTCTTCTTGTGTATATTCAGTCTCAAACCTATATCCAACTGGTAAATCACTATAAATATCATCATCATCTGAGTAATCACTAGAATCATTGAAATTATCGCTTTCTGTCTCCATCTTATACACCACACGCACTATGTTTACATAATGGCGTGTTTCAACATGGGGATGTGACGTCACATGACCTAGATTAATATTCATGTGTTTCTTAATCTTACTGCCGATTTGAACTGCGGGCGCCGGATTTGAAATGAAATACGTTATTGAATGTATTTCTATGTATAAAAACGTTACAGAAGTTATAAAATTTGACTTCAATTGTCCTTTAAGTTGAGTTCGTTAAAGGCTCACCACGTACCGCCCATTGAGGTGAAGTATCATAGTGTCAATCAAATGGTTATGAGTTTTTTTTACGAGAATTTATCCAGTTATGAGGTTTAGATATGTGGCATTCAGGAACACAGATTTTCTATAATACCACAACTTGGCCCTACCAATCTCACATTTTTTTACTTTGTTATATATATATATATAATCCTTACTTATATATAAATATATATATAACTGCGTATGAAACAGATCGTAGTAAACGTGAGTAACAGACAATGTAGGGGACTACTGTACGGAAGCGCCATGTGATTTACATGACCTCTAATACCAGCTAAACGCGGCTTCAACCTTTCACTGCGAATGAGATTTATTGTCCGAGAACTCGCATATACCGCACACGGTAGCTCCATAATCCTATTTTCTCCGCGCCCGTTTACCGAGTGTTACTTCTAAATCTAGCATCCTTGTGTTCATAATTATACTCTCAATAGAAGACAGAACCTATTATCGGTGTTAGACTATAAACTACATCAGTTCAGTTTTGCCCGGTGACTCGCAGCGTGCGCGTAGCTGTTGTGTATAGCTCTGTGTGTGATAGCTGTCGATCCCACTGTACGTGATACGTCATAGCGGATTACAGCCCGAGAGACACGCCGTAATGACAATATCAGCGGCGCAATGCGATGCCTCGAATATATAGCTGTCGAAGTGTGGAATGATTATCGAATGACGTTCTAACTTCCGTCGCTGCCTTCTACTTCATTAGACGTGACCACCCGCATTAGGAGCGCGAATCGCCAGGCGACCGAGGGAGGTGCTGCGTGTCCGCATCTTGAAGAGGTGGCGTCGTGCGCGAAGGTCACGGCGTGCCACTCCTGGCACACGGGCGCGCTCAGCAAGTGCATGGTCGAAGACCTGAAGAAGAACTGTGGACCAGGGCTCATGTACAGAACGGTGTACTGCGTCAACATACGCCGGGTACGTGACGATCATAGAAATAACACATTAGAAAGTTTACCAAATATACATCGTTGTATATTTCGACGTGAAATATACAATGTTATGCTAACGATCAACCTCACCAGTCGCTGACGTCATTCGCGATGACACGTGACGAGCTCGCCGCATGGAGGCGTACTGCAACCTGAAAAAATGGCGTAATTATTGGAAATGCTATTTTCCTCGGAAAGGTCTCCGATGCCAGCGAGCAGTTACCCCCTATTGTGCCTGCCTCGACCGATTCTGATAATGATCATTCACCAAGAACTGCTTTTGCAAAATATTATTTCATTGCGTCGTTAAACTGCGACACGTGCTGTGAGCGCTTTTATTAGCGATATGTCCTATCGATGCAAATGTTTTCATATATACTTGATGACGTGATACTAGTTTATAGCAGTATTTATAATCTCGTAAAAACATAAAATGTAGAATGCGTTCAGTGCTCTGTGTAGAGTACGCTCAGTAAATGCATGGTGATGCTTATGCTACACAGCATAATAAAGAGGTACTTTGGTATGGCAATCTTTAAACACTAAATTAGAAGAACTGTGAAAACTAAATTTGAATTTAGCTAAAGCTTAGACAGATTGATCGCTTATAAAGCTTTGCGTGATCAATGAATCAGCCAAGGGACAATCAGCGGCATTGCAGTAGGCCCCCTACGTGAATCCGCGTTGCTCTTTGCGTTATCATTTGTAAATATTAAATCGGAAATTGTCATTAATAATTTCGTATTATTTATTCATATAATATTCATCTCAATGTTAAAGGGCTTCAGTACCGAATGGTAGTGATTTTATCACGCACAAATGATTGCGTTTCACGTCTTAACTAATCGATAACTAGATTAATTAACTGAATATCATACTACGCAGCATAATCGATCAATTTATACATCTATGTGCTTAACGTGTGTATCTCTCTTTTCGCATGTCATATTTTAGGAGGTGTTTGTTCTTTTTAAACAGCACAGGCATACGATTTACATATTTTACAAAAATCGGGGCTTTGGTGTACGTTCGTGATATTACACGGAAGGAGCAGCCTATATATCGGATAATCGATACTCAATAACGCTTGGCAAACAACGCACTGCCGCATCATGAGCGCTGTGATGCAATACGCCATCATTTCCTATTTGTTCGACGCCAATCGTACTCGGAATCATTTCAAACGACATCGCATTGCTAATTAGATTTAATTTATATAGGTTATCATGGTGAAAGTCGAAGTATTATGGAATGCCGGGAAACAAATCACCCGACATTCCTCATTTGCTGACATAGCTAAGTGAATAACGAGTTGACCTGTGATTGACCTGATTGGCCTGAATAGAATCTAATTTATATATAGGCTATAGGGAGAATCATATAACACGAAAATGGTGACGCCGCATAGTGCTTAGGGAAATACATCGCCCACTCGTGCTCGTTTGCTGACATGGTTAAGTGAATAACGGGTTGACCTGTGATTGCTTTAGGAGCGAGTCAACGACACGATCTGTTTCGACAACCTGATGAATCCCATGCCATCGAACAGTGTCGCGTGCAGCGTTCCCTGCGCGGGAGACTGCGTGCTGTCACAGTGGAGCCAGTGGTCAGCCTGCTCGCAGGCCTGCTTCAAGGATACGGCTAAGGGAATGGTGGGAGGTGTCCAGGAGAGGACCCGCGGTATACTAGCTCAGTCCACCGGTGCGTAGTATGAAGATGTGTATAACACATATATATATATATATGTATATATATTATATATATATATATTATATATATTTGTATTCTAAATTATATCCATCATTTGGTTGATGCATCATTTAGTAATGATCTCCTTATATTTTCCAACATTGATTGTGTCAGAAATTTAATCATAGTAATATCAGGAGTGAATCGTTGTTATTCACTCCTGCTATTATCATATATAATACTCGCGAAAATTACACCATGTTAGCAGGTGAAATATTAGCTATATAATCATATCAAATTGGCGCTTACATTTCATATATAAAATGCAAAATCGTGATGATTTAGATATCGAACGTTAACATGCTATACGTTAGATATATCATGATCTACGTTCTAGTCATCATGCTATACGTTAGAGTTAGCATGATATATATACGTTAAAGATAACATAGGCTACTATGCATCAGAGTTACTACGCTATGGCCGATATGGCAAACGATACAGCATGGTTAACATTCACTTGAGTCGCTTATTTAGTCCGCTACGTGGCGCACAAAAAAAGAATATAATTGAAAATTGCATAATTAATTCATGAACGCGTGCACAATGTTGTGCAGTGTGTATTAATCTTCCCCTGAACGCACGCACATCCTAGCAGAGGTAGCTCGCGTTTTCCAATGAAACTGATTAAAATTCTGGAGCTTGGATGAATCGTATCGAGTGAGGATAACGTTTGAAGAAAAAATTAACAGGTGCGCATAATAGTTGTGCTACGTTTTCTGTAAAATATAAACGCATAGACAGTAGCTATAGGTTCATCTTGATAGGAAATTATAAGAATGGGACAGTAATTTTCCTGCTAAGCGAAGAGAAAGCCGATACTATTGTGATGGCTAATTAACCGGTGGTGGAAATTCAATGAAATGGTGGAAATTCAATTGGTGGAAATGGTGGAAATTCAATTGGTGGAAATGGTGGAAATTCAATTGAAAACCGGTGGTGGAAATTCAATCAGCCGTGACTAAAATGATAGATTAGTACTAGTGGGGAATGTAAGGTTAATACGGTGGAATATACATCAACGACGCTTTTTCGTGATTGCCTTTCATTTCTCACCAGGACTTACCTTGTTTAATTTTTGATAACGCCTCATGCTAAATTGTTAAACACCCAGGAATGCACGAGTGCATTTTGATTATGCTATTCGCTGTCGCATACTGCATAATAGTATGTACGACCAACGCGTTAGGAACTTTCCGTAACGTAGCGCTGGTTTTTAGAATTCATGTAATTCTAACTTTACATGCTGACTGTTTTCGGCGAGCATTATTCCGAATCACTTCTAGAAAACGTTATTACATGTGCTTATGCTTTCCTTCTTTACACGCATTTATACCCCATGAACACAGAGCGCATGCATATATAACCTACGAAAGCAATAACCTATTGAATATACGTGACATTGTTACACCACAGCATTAGAATGGCACAATAGTTATTATAGTATTAATTTACTCCACTGTTCTTTGCTGTTCGTTTTGCGTGTGGTGCTGATTTTGTCATATGTGATGTTGTTGTGTTCCCGGTAACCTGCGATTACCACACTCTACTGATGTGCTGGGGGCCGTCGTATTCGCTTCACAGATGGCTCTCCGTGTCCGACCTCGGACGAACTACGGGTTGTTCGCACTTGCTACCCCGAACGAAGCTGTGACGTGTACCACTGGCAAGGTGGACCGTGGGATGCCTGCGCTCATAGTAATCAAGTGGTGCCGGAGTTTTGTGGCAGATCGAAGCAGTTCCGTGACATAACTTGCGTGAAAAACGAGGGCGAGGCAGTGCCAAACTCAAGGTACGCACCTACAGCGCACTCTATCGGGTATCCGGTGCATGATAAATACACTTTAGCTTCGGATGGAATCTGAAGCCGTTAACATACACTGTTAATCGCTGCTAACTGCATGTACGGAAAACGTTTTCGTTGTGGAATTGCTTGGCAAAAATCGGAAGAAATTTCTGTAAGAATGATGAGAGCATTCTTTTTACGATTCAAAGAAAAAAACGTGTGTGTGTGGGTGTAAGCTTGGGCTTGGAGGAATAATCTTTTTTATCATGATTTATTTGATTTCTTTAGAGCCATTCACATTTTTGTGTGCAATATTTCATCAAAACGCTACGAGGCAGCTGATTCTTTCCCCGTATGACAGAACACGCCGTTGTAAAAAAACGACGAAAAATTTGGTCGCGCGCCGACCGTTCGCGATGTGTCTCATGCTGCTTCTCTGTATCTGTGTGGGTAGACACGAGCTCGCTAGCTCTATATCGAGCCGTATCTGCCGTAGATCGGCTTAGACTAGAGGCGGGCGATAAATGGTATACCATTTATCGCCCGCATCTAGTCTAAGCCGATCTACTGCTTTCGTCGTAATCTTTGATGCCGCAGCTGATAAGGAAATTCCAGAAAGGTCGGCGGGGCGGACACGACGTGTAAGGACGCCGGCGCTGCTGCCTGCGTCAGCACCAATTTCTGCGGATTTCGTGAATCGTAGCAAAAAGCAGACTAATGCGAACACTTAATTTGCGCGACCACTTCACAATTAAAACATTCGCGAGGCTTTGCCGTAATTCTTCTCGTCCTGTTGTGAGCGCGGTCTGATCAGTATTCAGGCCGCAACTAGTGTGATGTATTTATCTAAATCCACGCAAAACCGCAAATCAGTTTAGCGGGGCGAGTTAATTGCACGCGTAATTTCCCTAAATACTGTGCTGCTATATATATGTGTACAGCGTACTCTCTGTATAGTATATGAGTCTGTGCATTCTGGTTGATGATGATGAAGTTGTAAATAATATATATATATACTTGCTTGCTATATTCCCGTTTTTCTCGCAATTGAATTCAACAAGAAAATTGGAGAACACGACGTTTCGTGTGTTACTGCAACACTTCGACAGGACCTGGTGATGCGTTGACGTTGCGAGTGGGGGTATATATACCCCGCGGCTGGATTCAGCGGTACGGCTGCTGAACTGGCCGTGCTATGATTGGCTGTCTGGCGCTTGCTGTTTCCTGCGCAGTGACCGGCCGCGAAATTTTTTTTCCCACTTGAGTTCCGGACCCACCAATCCATAGATAGTGTTTTGTAATATATGGTTCGTATATATATATGGTTGGATTATAGTTAGTGTTAGGGTTTGGGTACGGGTTAGGTTTAGGGTTAGGGTTAGGTGGTATTCATTTTACATTGTTGCTTCGAGGAAGTCGAGTGAATGGAGTGCGCTGATTGGCTGTGGTCCGGAACTCAAGTGGAAAAAAAAATTTCGCTGACCGGCCGGCTGGCGCTTGCAGGTTCCCGCGTCGTAATCGGCTGGCTGGCGTTGGCTGTTACCCGCACTGGGCGCTGGGCACTGGGCACTGCTGTTGTGGATCGGACGGCGTTTGCCGCCGCACCGTAAGAGTCATGGCGGCGTATCGTTGCCATCCAGAAATTGGGGATATCTAACCCGTTGTCTCTGTTAAAGTTGTTAGGGCGGAGACGAATGTTCATGGCTTCCTTCACCATCCGTGTGTACCAGTGTCGCTCTTGGGCGAGGCACTGTATCCCTTCCCAGTCAGGTTGGTGCTGGTTCTCTCATGCGTGTTCGGCCACTGCTGAGCTGTAGGTTCGAAGCAGCCTGACATCCCTCTTGTGTTCAGTAATCCTTTCCGCTATAGGTCGGGCTGTTTCACCGATATAGGATCCGTCACACCCTTGACGGATAAAAATCCTAAAAGGGCCGGGCCACGGTAATCCTAGATACATCTACATACCATGACAAAATGAGTGACTTACTGAACACCGGCCCATATCGCAGGCTGAAGAAAGATCCCACAGACAGTATGTACCGCAAACTCACTAGCACGTTGCTAGTTCTGAAGAAGAAAAAAACGCAATAGATGAGTCAACCTATCAGAAATTGAGGCCAACACAGAAGCAACCACCCAGGATATACGGATTACCTAAGATCCATAAACCCACAACACCACTACGACCCATAGTGTCATGCGTAGGCTCGTTTGCATACTATCTCTCCAAGCACCTAGCAGAGATTTTTTCACCTCTCACGGGTGCCTACCTCCAGTGGGTTTGAAGAGTACATAGCAGAGCAAACCATCTGGGAGAGTGAAACTATGATATCGTTCGACGTAGTATCTCTTTTCACTAACGTACCTATAGAGGGCGCATGCCAGACAGCCCTACATCGCATGCAGACGGACAACAGCCTAACAGCCCGCACCGCTCTCTCTCTCCTGAGCAAGTCACCAAGCTCCTCGAGTTCGTCCTACGGTCTACATACTTCTTCTATAACGGCTCGTACTACGAGCAGACGGAGGGGGCAGCCATGGGCAGCCCGGTCTCGGCCGTTGTGGCCAACTTGTACCTGAAGAGTTTTGAACAGGAAGCTCTACTCACCTGTTCCCCCTCGTGCAAACCGCGGGTATGGAAGAGATACGTTGATGACACATTTATCATAGTCCCTAATGCAGAAGCGGAGAACCTGCTCAAACACATGAACAGCCACCGACAATCCATCCAGTTCACAGCGGAGGCAGAATGTGAAGGGAAGATAGCTTTCCTGGACACACTAGTACACAGACATGAAAACAGCGGTCTCTCCACCTCAGTCTACAGGAAGCCCACTCACACACACCAATACATACCGTTTGATTCACATCACCCCATTTCTGTGAAGGTCTAGTGAAATGTTTTTTTGACAGAGCGGAACGCATAGTCACCAGCCCACAACAGACAAACAATGAGCGGGCACACGTCCGGAATGCCCTAGGTAAGAACGGGTACCCACGCCGTTTCATCCATACCTCAACCAAGAAAACTTCACAACCCAAGGAGCCGAAGGATTATAAGACGTTCACGGTCTTACCCTTCATAGACAGGAGCTCCCAGCAGCTCAAACGCCGCTTAGAGAACAATAGGGTTCGGACCGTTTTCCGCTCAGACTCTACACTGCGCAAACAGCTAGTACGCCCAAAGGCCCGTGACTGCATAGTATATAACATCCTTTGCCAAGGGTGTGACGGATCCTATAACGGTAAAACAGCCCGACCTATAACGGAAAGGATTACTGAACACAAGAGAGATGTCAGGCTGCTTCGAACCTACAGCTCAGCAGTGGCCGAACACGCATGGGAGAACCAGCACCAACCTGACTGGGAAGGGATACAGTGCCTCGCCCAAGAGCGACACTGGTACACACGGATGGTGAAGGAAGCCATTAACATTCGTCTCCGCTCCAACAACTTTAACAGAGACAACGGGTTAGATATCCCCAATTTCTGGATGGCAACGATACGCCGCCATGACTCTCACGGTGCGGCGGCAAACGCCGTCCGACCCACAACAGTGCGGGTAACAGCCAACGCCAGCCAGCCGATTACGACGCGGGAACCTGCAAGCGCCAGCCGGCCGGTCACTGCGCAGGAAACAGCAAGCGCCGGAGCCAATCATAGCACGGCCAGTTCAGCAGCCGTACCGCTGAATCCAGCCGCAGGGTATATATACCCCCACTCGCAACGTCGCCGCATCGCCTGACGAAGTGTTGCAGTAGCACACGAAACGTCGTGTTCTTCAATTTTCTTGTTGACCACCCATTGCGAGACAAACGGGAATATAGCAAGCAAGTTTCATTTCCGCAATGGATAACGTTTTTAACCTTAACAATATATATATATATATAGATATTAAAAAAAAAATTGCGACACGGCGAGTAAAATAATTTTTTTTATATTAACGGTAACGTTGTCGAGCGGAAGCATGATTAATTACTTCGATAGCGTTAACGGTTTCCCACTCTTTTTCACTTGCCATATATATCAGGAGCTAATAATGACAAATTATTATTGTCAAATTACAATTGTTAATTGCAATTACAATCGTCAATTACAATCGTCAAATTACAATTATTAATTGACAAATTATTATTGTCATTATTAGCTCCTGATATATATGTATATATATATATATATATATGTGTGTGTGTGTGTGTGTGTGTGTGTGTGTGTGTGTGCGTGTCGTGTCGTGTCGTGTCGT